AAGCCAAAACAGCCGGGGAGATGGCTCAGTAAAAAACCAAAACAAAATAAAATCACCAAAAAAGAACCCCAGCGTAAGCATGGATCATATGATCATGTAAGATTGACATGCTCGGGCTAGCTAACCTACATAACCAACAACAGCAAGGGTGAGCTCGGCAGTACTCCTGGGGAGCCCGTCACGGAAAGGAAGACTTTCACTGCTCGGATGAGAAACCCTGAGTTTCCTAGTTTGGTGTTCTCCTCTCCTGCAGAGTGCACGCCAGCACTCCCCACTGGAGAAAAAGAGAGCTGCGGTATCTCCACTGGACCATCCCAGGCCTGCATGTAGATAATTAAAGCGCTCAGAATGATCACTTATCATATCCCAAATAATATGTGTCTGAATAAGACGCTAGTTCTGATAAAAAAAAGATTTCCATCCCAAGATATTTTGTTAGGTACTGTAAATAATTTGAAAAGAAAAGCCTTGCTTTATCTATATCATTCAGTGGGAAAGTACAGTGGGGTCTGCTATCTCAGACTTCTGAGGCTTTAACAACTATATTGACTAGTCAGCTTTCTGTCCCTGTAATGAAACAGCTGACATAAACAAGCTGATAATGAAGAAAAGTTTATCATAGCTCATGGTTTCCGAGGTTACTGTCTGTGGTTGGATAACTCCCACTGTTTTTGAGAAGGTAAGATAGAACCTCACGGCAAAGAGTGCAGGGCAGAGCCAATCCTCACACTTCAGGGCAGCCAGCAAGCAGAGACAGGAAAGGACCAGCTTCCCGGTATCCCTTCAGATAAGAAATCATGCCCCCAGTGACCTCACTTCCTTCCCCCAGGCCCCACCCCCTAAAGATTTCACCACCTTCCTGTAGCATTATTGGCGGGGAATCAAGCCTTCAACACATGAGTTTTTTTATGGACATCCAAACCATAATATCCATGTAATTAGCCTCTTTGCTATAGCAGCTCTTTATTTGCCAGACCGTTGCCAAATGCATTCCTTCAGGCTTCACAGTAATTCTTAAGGTAGGTACAGAAAGCTAAATCTCAGACAAGTTAAAACAAACCCTATGCTTTTAACCAGAGACATAGCCAATTAGTGGATGAAGATGTAGAAAGCTGGTTAAAAAAAAAAAGAAAGAAAGAAAGCTGGTTCATTTTCTTAGAAGGCCCAAAATCCAAAACGTGTGAGTCAGGCAGGTTTTTATTTTACCAGAACACACATAGCATGTTATGGCTTGTGTCTAGATGTCACCCCAAAGCCTTGTGTAGTCACAGGTGGGACTTTTCAGAGGTGGCTGGATGTGGACTGTGAGATGCTGGGGTCAAGGGTGTGTGGTTACTAAATTAGTCCACTGATCGGCCTGGCATAGTTCTGGGTGTGGATAATGGCAGGCCCTCCCTGAGTGTGAATGCTACACACCCTAAGGATGCGTAGCCAGATAGACGATGAAGGACAGAAGGGGGACTGCTGCCATGACTTGCTGCTTCTTTACTATCTCACTGTCCTCTGCCCAGGGACTGTGTCTCTTACAGATGCCTCCCTGCCTTGGAGCCAGCTAACCATGAACTGAACCTCTACAAACTGTAAGCCATAATAAACCTTTCCTCCTTTCCCTTCAGATGCCAGGTGTTTTGTCTCAGCCATGAAAAAAGTAACTGAGACACAGCCCAGGGTTAACTCATGGGGCTGACTGTGAGATTCAAGAGGAACAGCCCCACGCCTTGCATCCCAGTGCCTCCAAGATTAAGATGGACAACATTCAGCACCTTTCAGGACACACTGTAAATTCCTCGGACCAGCCGTTGTGCATTCCTTCCCTGCATTCAGCTTGCTGGCTCTTAGTCAACTCAGCTCATTCACAAAGAAGACCTGGTGAGGTTGCTCTATGTGGTACTGTGAACTACAAGTGTTTCTGTGAAGCCGTGCAAACTCTACTGGCTCTCCATTCGTCTGACATTTGCTTTGTTACCTTTGAGTCTATGCACTCAATCCTTAGTCTATGACTTGAGCCACATCAACTTTTTAAAAAGAAACCTCAGGCTTAAGATCATTTGTCAGACCCTTGTTGATTTCAACTGAGCAGCAGCTCTCTTCCTGTCTAGTTTCACCCAGATTCTGCTTTAAAGAACTACTCTTGGGCTGGGGAGATAGTTCAGTAGAATAAGTGCCTATCTGGCAATCACAAAGTCCTGAGTTCAATCCCTGGTTCTTCAAAAAACAAAAAACAAACAAAGAACTACTCTTTCTCCAATGGACTCTGACACACGACAACAGTCAGATAGTTTCATACTAGAATCTGAAGTTTTAGAAACATTTCTGGAACTGCCCAGTTCTTGAGGGTTTTTTGTGGGGGAGTGGGGGAGCTCTGGATGCAATTCCTCTTGACAGTCCAAAGAATTCACTTCCTTCCTAAATGAGTCAAAAATCAGTTCTTGTTTCTTTCTTTCTTTTTCCTTTTTTTTTTTTTTTTTTTTTACGGAACCAAGGATTGAACTCAGCCCTTGCGCTTGTCATCTCCCCAGCCCCCAGTTCTTGTTTCTTAACACTCATATAAAATGAGTTGCTGGGACCATGGAAATAGCTCAGCGGCCTAAGCGCTTGCCTGGCAAGCACAGGGATCCAGGTTTGATCCCCGGCACCACATGATGTGCTGGCCCTTCCCTGAGAAAGCCAAGTTGGCCACCAAAATAAGGCATGGTGGCGCTTGCCTGTAATCCCAGCTCTGGGGAGGCTGAAACAGGGATCACTATGAGTCCCACCTGTGTAGTGAGACCCTGGACCAACTACATAAAATTAAATAAATAAAATAAAATGAATTGCTCTGCTCAGCCAGTGGTTGTGAGCGTGGTTAGCACTTCCTCAGGCAGAAAAAAATCTTAAGGAAAAAGTCACTAGTAGTCTAAAACGTCACTGAGTAGTCTATCTTGGAGCAGAGAATTCTAAAGGATATCAGGAAAATGGAGCCAACAGAGAACACAGAAGACTACCAGGACTAGGTTACGGTGACGAAGTCTCTATTTTTCTCTTTCCGGGTAGTGGTATCATTAGATAAAAATTGGTCGTGCCTAAGACATTGCTGCCACTGAGAGCTGTAGGCACTGTCATCCTTCTGGACGAGTAACCACACTCACCCATTCGATTCAATTTTATTTCCAGAGAAGTGTCATTATTGAATTGTCATCCAAAAGATTACACAAGACATTTATCTAGCAGAGCATATAGCCCAGAATTGTTTTTTTGTTTGTTTGGTTTTTTTTTCTTAAAATTTAGTTTATCAAGAAACTCTTCCAGGCTGGGGAGATGGCTCAGTAGAATAAATGCTTCCCTGGCAAGAGCAAGGGTCTGAGTTCAAGCCCCAGTTACACCAAAAAAAGAAAGAAAGAAATTCTTTTTTTATTTGCAAAATGCAGCTATGGTATTAAAAGCAGCCCAAATTACAAGATTATAAATGTCATAGAGTCTCCTGGATATTGACAAAAATCAGTGTCTGAAAACTTTGCCCTCCTAAGGGGGATATAGTATTTTGTTTTTCAGAAACAGAGCTTCCAAAAGCTTAACTATTTGTGACTAGGTTAATACCCCTTAGAAACACATTTCATGTAACCTGTGCTGAGTTGGCCAAGAGCCAGCAAGCTGAATACAGGAAGGTAAAAATGTCTGCAGGTCTGCCATGACCAGCGATGATATTTGGAGTCTAAATGGCAGCCCCAAAGGCTCTTCCCACTGCAGGCATTCTATGCACACACGAGGGGCCTTCCTACAGCTAACATTTAGAATAATCACACGCAATACTTCCTCCTACATGGTCCAGAATGTTCTTTAATTATGTGTGGCAAAATCAAGATATCAAGATAATCCCACTTTTCCAGGAAAAAAGAGGTAGAAATACCTTTAGCGTACTGTTACTGTAGGAGATGAATAAGGAAAGCAGGAGTGACACAGTTGGCAAAGTGGCGGCTCTACACCTTAGCTTCTATGTATTTATTTTACTTTTTTTCCATAATTTTATTGACAGACAAATAACAATGAGACAGTTTCAAATCAAATTGGTAGGACAGTTTCAATAATTAACACATTGCATACATTCTTCCTAGTGGTTAATTGCTGTACAAGATGCAGATATGAAATCCTACTTACAAACACCATTAGAACAAATCCCTCTATTCATTAAGAGAATGTAACTATATATCTATCCTAACCATTTTGAATACACAGATACAAAATGGACATTCATCTGTATCCCCTTTTTTTGTTTAGTTCCGTCATTTGAATATTATAGGTGTGTTAACTCAGCAAAAATATTCTAAAAGAGTCCAGTAATCCGTAATAGTATTGGGTCTTCCACTTGACTGGCAGTTACACCAGTATAATTTTAAAAGAATTTGTAGAAGTGTCTTAATATACAATACTATAGTAAGGTAAAATGATTAGATGAAATTTTAAAAACAAGGAAAAGAGAGGGGAAAAAAACAATGAGGTCAGGGGGGAAAAAAAGAAAGATAACAAAGCCGTTTCTTATTTTCTTCTCCCTTCCCTCCATCCTTCCTTCTCCTTCCCTTTATGAAGGGTTTCCATGTGACAGAGAATGGTGAAAACCAGTCCCATCAGCACTTCCTGCCACCAGGTATTGATCATACTCGTAACTCCACCCAAGGAACTACAGGGAAATAAGACACAACATTTCCAAGAACCCATTTAAGCTGCTACTGCAAAAGTGATCCTCAAAAGCTCAGAGGAAGAAATACATGACCTGTTGTTTGCACATGCTTCTCCATTCAATCTCTCTCCTCCCTCCTCTCTCTCCTCTCTCTCTCTCTCTCTCTCTCTCTCTCTCTCTCTCTCTCTCTCTCTCTCTGAGCCATTTCTGCACACAGCACTGGGTTTTCTCCTGTCTCACCCATGATGTTCAAGTTTATTTTATTCTTGCCCAAAAAGTTTTAGTTGGAAAACAATAAAGCCTTGGGAGACCAGCAGCAATGAAGTGGAAAACCAAGGGTTGAACTTTAGTGAATCCTTCCCCAGAACCAAAGATTCCAGACTGCTGCCACAAGTGGGGCCAACAGCAGCACTGTCATGCCTGATATGCCCTTTGTGCCATCATCTTCCTCGAGTTTTCCATTACAGTTATCTCTCTGGCAACATCTGTAGAGCAACAGGGACTCCTCTAATCTCTCCATGAAGAATGTCAGGGTGCAGGAAGCTTCCCTCCAGCATCCGTGATAGGATTGGTTCCCTGTGGGAAGACACAGGGAGTGAGAGGTCAACTAGGTAAAAGTCTGTCTCTGCTATGGAACCCTTCATTCTGCTTCTTGGAACTAACCCTGTATAATTCTGCATAATCATCTTGGCTGGGTTGGGGAGGGAAGCCATAAAGTAAGTGACAATATGTCTCACAAGAGAACTTGGGCACAAAACAAATCTCAACTAGGTATGGTGGCACATGTCTGGAATCCCAGCAGATACGAAAGTCTAATTTAAGTAGAAAAAATGTTGAAATTCACATTATTTTTAAAAATATATATGTGTGTGCCTGCATGTGTGTATGTGTATTATTCTTTAAAGCAGTTTTAGACTCATAGAAAAATTGAGTAGAAGCTTCAAAAGTCCCTATTCTCCAAAACACAAACCTCCCACTTTCAGCCCAGTCAGTGTGGTACCATTTGTTATAACTGCTATACCTACATGGACTCACCATTATTACCCACAGGTCATCCTAGAGTTTATTTCTGCTGTTGCATATTGTAACAATCTGTGTTTCATTATTAAAAATGCCTGGCACAGGCTAACATAAAGGAATGGAGTTCAGTTAGCTCAGTTCTGGAGATTCTGAGTCCAAGACTGGGGCCCACCGTTCGTTGGGCTCCTGGTGAGGGGGTAAAGGAGGATGATATCATATCACAGTGGGAGCATGTGTAGAGGAAAGATTAGAACCCCCAAAAAGACAGGAAGAAAAAAATCATGGCTCGAAACAGGAAGCCAGAGAGAGCTACATGGAGCCAGGCTCAGATTTATTTATAATAATCTTCTGCTACAAACTACTAAGAGGGTGCACAAGAACTAGTTTAGTTCTCTTCAAGGGCTCGTACCCAGATGGCCAAAGGACCCCCTGCTAGGTCTGACCTTATAAGAGCTCTACCTCCAGAATCATCACACTGAGGACCCAGCCTCCAACACATGGACCTTTAAGGGGAGAAATAGCTCCAAGCATCCTGTGGCACATACAGAAATGGCACGCATGTTCCAGCTCATGCTGTAAACATGCTGCCCTCCAAGTTCCTCTTATTCACCTTGACCCCTGCCAGCTACGGATTTTTTTTTTTTTTTCAGTCTTGTCTTTTCCATAAGGTCATATGGCTGGAACTACTTGTGGCCTTTTTACAGTAGTTTCTTTCCCTCATTGATATGTGTTTAAGTTTCCTCTGTCTTTCTGTGGCATGATCATTCATTTCTTTTTGGTGCTGAATAAGATTTCATTGATATCCCAGAGTTTATCCACCCATCTGCTGAAGGACATCTTGGCCACTTCCAAGTTTTGGCAATTATTGAGTAAGTTGTTATAAACCTCCACAAACTTTTATGTGGACCTAAGTTTTCAGCTGTTTTGGGTAAGTATATATTCTCAAGGACTTTTTGTTAACATATAGTCTGGATAGCTTGGTAGCTCTTTATGGAGAAGACAGTATTTCTGTCTACTTCTAAGTGATATCGCGATACTTTAGGCACTAAAGCAGAACAACAATGCTTTCTCTAGTGTCACCTTGGTTTAACAGTTTGAGATGTTTGTGGTAAGTTGCTGTCAATTTTATGAGGTCTAAAGTACTTTGTTATCAAGCCAGATTCCTTAGTAGACCAAATCTTTTTCTCTGAAATGTTAAGATATCTTTCTTTTCTTTCTTTTTTTTTTTTTTATTTTAGGGAAGGGTCTACAGGGTGTTCAAGGTCTTACTACTAGAACAGACTTGTAGTGATCTGCCTGTTTACAGCCTCCCAAGAGGTGGGATTACAGGCGTGCACCACCATGCCCAGCTCTATTGCCCTCTCAGGGTGCCCCAGGGGCGGGACTGGTATGGCAGGCCTGGGGATTGAACCCCTGGTCCCTGCACCTGCTTGCAGGTGCTTTAATCTGCTGAGCTATTTGGCCGGCACTGAGTACATTTAGTTTTGTTGACAACTGCCATCGCATCATTGGTACCTTTAACCATTGGCTTGTGTCGCTCTAGTCTGCTGCCTCAGAATCCTGGGCTGCTGTCTGCTCCAGGTGTGTTGAATTCTAGCCATTCAGATTGTTTATATTACCCATTTTTAAAAGCTTAACTATCCAAATAAGAAACTATGGAATTTGAGAGTTGGATAAAAGATTATGGCCGTGGAGCAGGTCAGAGGTCAGAGCTCTTAGTTGGTATTCCAATTCTTATTCGTGCCATTTACTTTCTTATTTGGAAATTAAACTGGTGAGCAGACATTTGTGGAGGGAATGATTATGTGCTTCCAGGGGCCTTACTACATTTTCTACATTCACTGTGAATTATCACATTCTCTGACAAAGGCAGGGGAACTTCCCTATAGTATCTAGGACTTTGCATGCCAGGCTTGGGATGTTAGCTGCATTCCAGGAATTTGTATTAAAAGTATCAGATACTTTCATTGTGGTAGTGAGGATAGAGTCCAGGACCTTCACACTGATATCCCAATACCTTTTTATTTCTTTCATTGGAGATAGGGTCTTACTAAACCACTAAGTAGCCCAGGATGGGCTTGAACTTGTCATCTTCCTGCCTCAGCCTCCTGGTATGCAGGAATTACAGATGTATACCATCAGGCCTGGATGACACTTCTCTGTGTTAGATACAGTCAACCTAATTGGTTCTTACTTGTGGAAGAATTTTTTTTCTGGTAGGAAATTAATCTTCATACTGAGAAGTGTTTCTGAACTGTGGATCTCCCAACCTTTTCATGAGTTTATTGGACATAGTCACCATTACTTGACATTGACAATGGGAAGAGTTTGTGGTAGGAAGCACAGGAGTGAAAATAAGCTTGAAGCATGATATTTTCATCTCTTAAAAGTGGAAACTTGGGGGTTTTATCTTATGGAACAAGACCATGCTGGAAGTGACATTCTGCACCAGTACTACAAATTACACATCTGTTCAAGTGAGACTCGTACCCAGCAAGAAGAGGGCATGGCTTTATCTACCATCCCCTCAATTATAGGCTTTATGGAAGTGGAGAATCCCTAATGTGACCAATTGGGACGTGCAGACTGGACAAAACTAGCACACTCAGGGACCACCTGCTTGGGGCCCCTCCTCTTATCCCTCTCTTGGACAGGAGCTTTCTTTCCCTCAATAAATATATTCTGCTCATATAAAAAAAAAAAGACTAGCACATATATGAGCACTTTGCTCTGTAGGGCCATTATGCCTGGGAATGTGTTGCTGCCAATCCTGGGAACACCTCTGCCATCTTAGTCTTCCTAAGCCCTATTCATCCTCCAACCTCAGCTTATGTCCCCTTGAAACTCTGTAGGTACTAACTCCCCCATGAAACAAGACAGTGGTATAAAGTTACTGGGACACCAAGCAGGTCTTTGTCATCATTTTTGTATATGCAAACTGCCCCACCCCACCCCATCCCAGGACAGGGGATTCAGTCCACAGCCTCAGGCTTGCAAGGCAAGTGTTCTACCACTGAGCTGTATCTCTAGGCCTTTAAAATTGCTTTTAAATTTTAGAACAGGGCCTTTCTAAATTGTCGAGGCTGGCCTCAAATGTGCTTCTCCTGTTCCTGAGGAGCTGGGATTGCAGCATGCGCTGTAATGTCTCTGACCTTAGCTCAGGCCCTGGTACACCAAAGGCTTCCAAATGTTGGGAAGGCAGCAAGGTGTGTTTGTTCAAAAGCAAAAGTTCTGGCATCAGATGAGTTTCCATGCTTGAATCCTAAATTAGTTAACTGACCTTATCCTGCTTGTTAATCTGAGGTTCTAGTTCCTCATTTATTAAACAGGAATAAAAGATCCACCTGAGAAACAGCAACTAACAACTTTACGGAGAGGGCCTAATCCCCAGCACACAGCTGGCACCAACGGACAGTGGCTCTTATTTATGGGTACAAGTGGAGTTAGAATTGGGGAGGCAGACTTGCCCCCAGCTGTCATCACCCCATTACATGCAGGAGACAGGGAATAGGGGAACTCTTACCTGCTGAAACAATGTAGCATGAATCAAGGTTAGGTGTGCAAGTGGTGACATTATTGCATTTCTTGGTGGTCCTTCTACAATTGAGGCACCTCAGGCTGAAACCTAGAATCAGAAAAAAGAAAAAAGTGTGTTATAGTGGCATCAAGCGACACTTTAGCAGCAGAACAGAGCTGTCCACCTGCAATAGTATGGTATGGGGTCAACTACAGTTCCACTGATGTATTTAGGGGCCTAGAGCTAGTGCACAGGGAATATCTGCCTTTCAAAATCCATGCAGCTGCAACTGAGATGCTTTTCCTAATTTTCAACTGGCAGGTGACTGATGTGTGCAGTGTAATGACTTTTTTTTTTTTTGGCAGAATCGGGGATTGAACTCAGGCCCTTGCGCTTGCCAGAGAAGTGCTTATTCCACTGAGCCATCTCCCTGGCCCCGCAGCATAATGACTTTTTAAGCCAAAACATCAAAGAGAGTAAATAGCCCTGCGACTGTCTTCCTGGCAAGAATAAGCTCAGTGAAACCAAACCCTCGTGGATTGATAACTCCTTATTTGTGTGAAGAGACATTTTGAAAGACAAAATATATAAGATCTCTTTACTAATCAATACACACAGACAAATATTTACAGCTGATTTGGTGATAGGAACACTAATTTTTATCCAAATGAAGCAAAACATTCATCCCCCTGAAAGATACTAACCCCATTAACAAATGTATATTGTACATTTATACTTAATTATTACATTGTGAATTTTGACAAATGAAATTTTGTGTAAGTCAGGTGTCGTGGTACACATCTACGATACTAGCATATCTATAATCCTAGCTGAGGAAGGAGGACCACAGATTGGAGGGCGGCCTGGGAGACTTAGTGAGACCCTGTCTCAAGATAAAAAATGAAAATGAAAAAGGGCCAGGGCTGGAACTATAGCTCAGTGGTAGAGCGCTTCCCTACCATCACATATGTCAGGCCCTGAATCCAATCCCTAGCACTGCAAAAAGAAAAAGAAAAAACAGAAAAAGTGACAGCTCTGCCATACTAGACTGCTTGTTCTCCCCGGAATCAGCATTTGTCATGGCCATCCAAGAGGGGAGCTACAGGGAGGAAGCACAAACATGCCATTTCTCTACAGTCCCTTCCCTGTGCTGGATGTGTGTCCTTAGGGACAAGAAGCTAAGAATGGAAGTGGGAGGGTGTTGGGCAGGCCTGACTGTCTGAGGGCTATTTTGAAAGATCACACATAGGACTGACTTACTGGCTACAGCCGCCTTGGCTTCCTTATAGTCCTTGGAAGGGTCAAGGGCCATGTGTGAAACTTCTTTGGAACGGAAATGCTGATGGATAATATTTTCGAGTGCTCAAACGTCCATGCACCTATATGCTAAGCTCTTCCATAAAACTGTTAGAAGAGGTAGGCACAAGAAACTTTATCCCCATTTTGCAAGAGACAACGAAGACTAAGATATTAACTAAGATTTGTCCAAAGTCACACAGCTACTAACTAATGGAATGAGACACAGACTCAGGCTATCACTTCCAGAGCCCAAGCTGGAAGAAGTGCTGAACAGGAAAACAGCATAGCTGAATAAAGGAGGAGACTTGGTCTGAGGTAATCAGAAAAATTCAACTAAAACACAGATGCTTGGAAGAGGAGGAAGGATATACACCTTGAAACTAAAACCAATCTGATATAAGAGACTGCTAAATAAAGCCAACCATAGATGAAGGACTTAATAAAATGGCCAGCCAGCCCACCTGGTTGCCAGTGGGTCACCGGATAAGGATGACTGTCCACCATACTTGAATCTTAGGAGGAGGAAGAGGAGGAGGAGGAGGAGGAGGAGAAAAAGAAAGAGAAGGAGAAGAAGGTATACTAAACTAGTATGGCTAAATCAAGTCATACAGGATAAACTTGGGACTGGGATACAACACCTCCTGCTTCTTCCACCTTCCTCCAAGGAGAAGACATGGACCAGAGAGATGGCTCAGTAGAATAAGCACTGGCCTGGCAAGCGCAAGGGCCTGAGTTCAATCCCTGGTTCTGCCAAAAAAAAGAGAAGATGCTACAGTCTAGCAGTAAATTCTGCTGACACAAATGGCTCCCTCCCTGATGATCAGCCATTTTACTTTTTTTTCCCCTTTTTATTTTGTTTTGTTTTTCTTTCTTCTCTTTTTCCTTTCTTTTTTCTTTTCCTCTCATTCACTCTGTGCACCAGAGCACTAACTGGAAACACTAGGAACAAGATTAAAGACTAGAAGGCTGCGTAGTAAACAGCCCTCCCCCCTCCCCCCATGACCTGTGGTTAGAGAGGTGCAGGGAATTAGACAGCCTTGCCACAGAGGGCCTATGCTGCCCTGGCTGTCCCCACACTGCCAGGAAAGAGCAGGAGAAAAAAAGCACCTCACAGCACCACCACTATATCTTACCCAAGGAAGTTACAGATGCAGTAGAGACAGGTGACAGGTGGCAGTGGAACTTGTTTTTTTGTTTGTTTGTTTTCTTTTTCTTTTTTTTAATTGAGAAACAAATATCAATGAGACAATTTCAAAACTGATTAATGGGACAGTTTCAATAATTAATACATTGTACATTGTTACCTTCTTAGTGGCTATCCATAGTACAAGATGCAGACAGGATATCCTGTCCAAACACTATTAGTACAAATCTTTCTTCTCACTGAATTAAGCGAAAGTAGCTGTATAACCCCTGTGTTTCTTGATGCTACAAGAAAGGTCAAGTATGAGATTGGATCAAGCACATGGACATTTTTACAGGTCAAAACAATGGAAAACCAATTTGATTCAACACAGAAAAAATAATATTGAAGAGTTGACATAAAAATTAGTATAGAAAGATGCCAATGTCGGCCTCATTTATCCAAATGAGGATTTTGAGTTGGTCTGAAGATCTGAAAATATAGACCTAGCCAATAAGCACTGCCTAATCACATGGCTTGGCAGTGGAACTTGTAAAGCAATGCATGGGAAGTTAGCACCCCACCTCGCTAGAGGATTAAGAATTAGGCCCTAGCAGCTTTGGACTGCAACAGTCGGCTCCACTGGGTAGAACTGAGAGAGGAACAAGTGAGTAACATCACAACTCACGCCAGCTAGGGTTAACAGGGCAGACAAGGACATTGGGACCAGGAGGAAGTCATGACTTCTCTTTTTTGCCAGACAGAAAGAGGATTCAAGTGTGTCCTTAAGCAAGTGGACACATGCACTGACACACCCTCCACAGGTGACAGAGGCTTAGCAGATGCCACTCTTGAAGTTGGCCAGAGGCTTAAATGAGATAAACATTGGCACAGACGTATGTCAACTACGTAACAGCAGCTGTTATATGGGAGCTACTAACGCATCCCAACATGGCAGGCACCTTTATTTTTCTTCTTTATTGCTTATTTGCTATTTCTTTTTCTTCCTTTATCACACACACACACACACACAAACACACAAAAAACCTATAGTGGTACCAATATCACACAGGCAGAAAATGACACTTGATCCTTATCAAGGTAGCAAATAATAGAAGTAATAGAGCAAGTAACATAACTGTTCCTATTTTTATAAAAGGCTCATTGGGCCTGGGGAGACAGCTCAGTTGAATAAGTGCTTGCCTGGCAAGTGCAAGGGCCTGAGTTCAATCCCCAGTTCCAAAAAAAAAAAAAAAAAAGGCTCATGACATCATCTCCAGGAAACCAGAGAAGGGTGGCAGGAAAGGGCTGGCCCATGGAAGGGGTGGCCTGCAGCAGGAGTAAAGCAGGAACCCAGGGGCTGGGTTGGGTTCACAGTGTAGCATGCCACTCTCTTCTTGTATTATCTTACAAGTTACTTCATCTCTTTGGACCTCAATGTTGTTATTTGCAAAACAGGAATAAAAAGACTGTCTATTCTATTGGATTGGCATGAGGAACAAGTACATATATGTAAAAAGTTCAGACTGGTAATTAACACCCAAGCGCTATAAGCTTCAGCCATGGTGGCAGCAGCTACCACTATGGTCACCACCACTATAGCACCAGAGAAGCCACGGGGCAGAAGGAGTGAGCCGAGAAGGCCCAAAATGCACTTGCATGGCACTTCAAGAGTGGCATCTGTTAAAGTGCCCAAGGTTCTTGTAGTGAGTAGGGAGGAGACCAACTGTAACCTGGTCCCCTATAAAAACCAGCAGCCCTGTGACTGGGGACAGCTGTGACTCAGGAGGATCAGGAGCACAGAAAGCCAAAGAACCAAAACCAGGCCTGGATAGGGGACTGGGGTGGAGAGCAAAGCCAGCCGCAAGCACTTTCTGGAGAAGTAAATGAGAGGAAGTTTGCGGCCAGCTTCCTGGATGGTCCTGGTCTGTGGGCCACTCACCTGTGCTGCAGAGCAAAGCCAAGACCAGCAGGAGACTGAGGAGGGTGACACCTCCTTGACTTCTCATTGTGACTGTCTGCAGAGTCTGGAAGACAGGGACGAGAAGGGCTGTCATGATATTTAAAAAGCTGCTGCTTATCTCAGAAATCAAGAGCTAGAGGTCCAGGGGGACCCTAAGAAGGAGTTGATGGCCTGATCAAGAACAGGAAATTTCCTGGGTGGGGTGTCCATGCCAGGTGGTGCCGTCAGGTGGACAGTGCTGGGTAGTAGCGCTGACCCTCCTCCTGCCTGAGACCTTGGCTTACCGAAGAAATACTTCTCAACTTGATGAAAGAGGCAGCTACGAGGGACCCAAGGCTCCTCGGGTACAGCAGGAACACTGGGACCCAGCCCAGCTCAACCTACAGCATCCACAAACACAGGGAAATAGCTCAGTGGTATAAGCATCTGCCCGGCAAGTACAAGGTCCTGAGTTCCATCTGCAGTATCAAAACAAGAACAAACTCGATCCCCACAAGCCCCAGTGTTCACTGCTGTGCAGTGAAAATAACACCATCTCCCCCACAAGGATTGTTGCATCCAGTAAAAATACGTGAGAAAGCAATCCATGTGGCATCCTCACCCACACCCCCTGCTTTGGGCTGAGCTAGATAGAGGGTCATTTCTGCAGGCTGGGTCACTGTAGGCATTGGCCCAGAGAGTTTCCTGAAGGGGACCCAGCAAGCTGTTAGCACCAGAACAGAAATCTGAGGTTTGGCAGGTAGACATGCAAGATCTAGCACTACTACCACCACTACCACCACCACCACCATCACCACCACCACCCACCAAGTAAGGTAGGGACATCTTGTTCACTCTGCAGAAGTAGAGAGGTCCTGAGAATCTGAGGAGTGGTCCTTATTACACAGGTGACTGGATGTGTAACAATGGGCTCCAGGTTAGACAAGGGGGCTGAAATGCCCTGAACCTCCTTTTAGTCAATACAGAGGCCAAGTCACGGGCAGGTTTGGGATACCCCCAGTACCAAGACTTGGTAGCTGTTCCAGGAAGTCTCCCTGCCAGGCACAGTGGTGCATACCTATAATCCCAGCACTTGGGAAGCTGAGGCAAGAGGATTGCTAGGAGTTTGAGCCCAGGCTGGGCTAGCTACATAGTGAGAACAAAACAAGCTGAATCTATATAGCAAGACCCAAGCTAAAAAGAAAAGAGAAGAAGGAGCTCCATTGTGAACCAGAGGTCCCCCAGGCTGCTTCCTGAGCCACACAGGCCAGAACTTAGGGCTGCCGGACAGATGGGGGCTCATCTGCCATCCTCTGGGTGCAGAATGGAGAGGTCCCTAAGGCTATCAGATCATTATTTCTACCATCTTTGCAGGCCATTTTCCCAGAGGAAGTGGCCATGCAGGTCAGGGAAAATTTGAGAAGCTGAAAAAGGCAGTGTCTAGAATTTTCCAAAGGAAAAAAAAAAAACATTGACTCACACTAGGGGAAGGTCTCAAGGAAAAACAGGGCCTGGCTTTTCCTTACAAGTGTCACCTGCCACTTCTCTCAGCATACTGCCAACTTCTAGGGAGGGAGGATGATTGATAGACTTGGGTTAGATAGGACTGGGTAAGGGTGTTAAAGTGATGCTGTGTATTACAAGGCTGAAAAGCTGCTGTAAAGAAGCAAGAGGGGGTGCCGGGGAGATGGCTCAGTAGAATAAGTGCTTGTCTGGTAAGTACAAGGTCCTGAGTTCAATCCCTGGTACTGAAAAAAAAAAAAAAAAAAGGCAAGAGGACGTTGGCCAGATAGCTCGGAGGTCTAAAGTGCCTGCTTAGGCAAGCTTAGGGACCACAGTTCCATCCCTGGCACCACATGCCATGCCAGCTCCACCCCCAGGGTAGGCTGAGCTGGCCACAAAA